CATCCATATTCATCTATAAGCATCTATCCCTCCATCCCTATTCATCCCTATCCATCCATCCATCCATCCATCCAATCTATCAATCCATTCATATTCATCCATATCCACCCATCTATCCACCCATCCATCCCCCAATTTTAGAAACTGCTCACCTCTCTGACAGAGGAGCATGCTGGACCACACATCCTAGAGAGGATGGAAGGTGACCTTGATAAAGATATGCAGGAAAGGCTGTCTAGGGCCGAAACATTTTTTAAATCTAGAAAAAGGTGACAAAATTCAGAAATAGCTTGATACCTGTCAGCTCTTGAGGGTAGAATGGCCCAGGAAACCAAAATCACGCCTCCTATTTTAAAGAGCAGGTTACAGAGACAGGACCTTCCAAGGCAGAATGCTTCTCCAATCTCTCCTTCACTGACACAAAAACTAGGGAAGATCCTGTCTTGAGATGGCTTTCTCAAATTACACTTCTGGCCCCGACTCAAATTTCTCTTATCTGACCATTGTTTTGGCTGTGGATCTTCCTCCTGTTCCTCAAGGTTATTTCTTCTTCCCATGACATCCCTTTCCTAATTCACTGGGGTATAAGGAGGAGGTAGAGCACAACCAGGCTTATGAGAGATTCTCTTATCTCACGAAAAGTAGTGTTAGCCTTCCTGTGGAATTGTTTTCCCGGTTTGGTCTATCTAGTGGGGCTGACTCAAATAATTCAGATAAATGAAAAAATTTGGAAAGGAGCTGAAATCTCCGTTGGATCCTATGGGGGAATGACTCAGCTTCATCCAGGCCCTGCTTTAGTGTGGACCGGTGTTCAGGGAAGCAATTACCAATGCAATCCCAGAGCTGAGCTGCTAGAACAGCGATCCTCAGCTTTCCGGCTTGGTGGACCGACTGGAGAGAGGGGATAGCAATAGCATTTAGACTTATATACCACTTGATACTGCTTTTCAGCCCTCCCTAAATGGTTTACAGAGTCAACATGTTGCCCCCAACAATTTGGGTCCTCATTTGACCCACCTCGGAAAGATGGAAGGCTGAGTCAACCTTGAGCCTGGTGATATTCAAACTGCCAAATTGCAGGCAGCCGGCAGGCAGCAGAAGTAGCCTGCAGTACTGCACTTCATCATTAAGTGTTGTACCTTATGATTCTTGACTCTTCAAGGATGTATCTTTTCTTTTATGTGCACTGAGAGTATTTACACCAAGACAAATTCCTTGTGTATCCAATCACACTTGGCCAATTCTATTCTATTAACTAGCCACTGCACCAATGAGACTCTTTCGTGATGGTTTCGTGAACTCCGTTTGCATAAGCAGTGTGCATACATATGCACTGCTTGCACAAATGGAACTTTGCGCATGTGCTTGCTCACCACTTGTGCGGTCCAGTTTCAAATGGGCCACAGCTCAATAGTGGGCAATGGCCCGCAGGTTGGGGACCCCTGTGCTAGAGCTTTTGATACAGATTAACAGAGTTGGAAGGGACCTTGAAGGTCATCTAGTCCCCTCCAGCCCCCCACCCAAGCAGGAGACCCTACGCCATTTCTGACAGATGGCAGTCCAGTCTCTTCTTGAAAGCTTCCAGGGATGAAGCTCCCACAACTTCCAAAGGCAACTTCTGTTCCATCGGTTGATTGTTCTCCCTGTCAGAAAATTTCTCCTTAGTTCCAGGTTGAATCTCTCCTTGATCAGTTTCTATCCATTATTCCTTGTCTGGCCTTCGGGTGCTTTGGAAAGCAGGTTGACCCCCTTTGAGATCAACACAGCTGTTTGGACATGGTCTCTCAGTTTCTAGTATGAGATTTTAACCCAGACTTGGGCATATTATAGCCCCCTGGCCCACATCTGCCTCCTTGGCTACCCCGTCTGGCCCGCATGAGGTCAATCGGAAATCAGATGTAAATAAACATGCCCAAAATACAACCGCATTGCTGTTATTTTGAAGGCGACTGCTATTCTTTTCTTCAATGTACACCCATGTGTATGTGTCTACACTCTTTCACAGCCCTACTGGTTCAGCCCTCCAGAACAATCCCAGTTTCTCATGTGCGCCTCCCCTTAGGAAAATGAATTGCTCACCCCTGTTTTAACCACACCACCAAACAGGCTTTCAGCAATGAAGGAGAGGCATTTAGAAAATGATCTGCACGGAGTGTCAAAGATGGTAGATATGCTACAGCCCTGGACTTGAAAATGTTGCACGATTGTGCAACGGAGCCTCCATGTTTAAACGCAGTGTATCAGGGCATTCTAGCTTGCTGAAGGAAGTGGGATGGGTGGGAAATGGAGTCATTAGACCCTGCCTTCTGAGATTCTCATAAATGCTCTTTGGATGTTTCTCGGATGCTTTTGAGTGCTTCATCGGAAAGGGGCCCAGTGCATTCCAGAGCCAGAGGGGACAGGCTGCTTGCCCAACATGATGGCAGAGAAACCAAAACAGAGAAGAGCTTTGTCTTCCTGGTGCCACAAAAATGAGGAAGCTCTGGGGAATAAACTTGTTCTGGTTTTCAGACACCAGCAAGAAGAACTGCCACAACAAAGCGGCTGTGGCCAAACCCTCTAAAAAAGCAATGTTGTCCCAACGGTGTGTTAAAATGGTGCCTTGGTTGAAACATGATCCATAAAGGGAGAATAGAGTAGAGTAGAGTAGAGTAGAGTAGAGTAGAGTAGAGTAGAGTAGAGTAGAGTGGGCTAGGCTAGGCTAGGATAAAGAGAAGAGGAGAGGAGAACAGAACGGAACAGAACAGAATAGAAATAGAGTAAGAGTAAGAGCAAGAGTAGAGTAGAGTAGAATAGAAGTAGAGTAGAGTAGAGAAGAGAACAGGAGCAGAATGGAGTAGCGTAGAACAGAGTAAAATAGAATAGAATAGAGTAAATAGAAGTAGAGTAGAGTAGAGTAGAGTAGAGTAGAGTAGAGTACAGAATAGAATAGAATAGAATAGAATAGAATAGAATAGAATAGAATAGAATAGAATAGAATAGAATAGAATTTATTTGGCCAAGTGTGATTAGACACAGAAGAAAACACAAGAGGAGAAGCAACTTGGAGGATGCCTGATCACTTGGATCTTCTGTACCCTGGTTGGATTCGTTAAACATGCTAATTTGGGGCAAAATATGGTTGTGCGATTGTGGGAAACCTAACTGTGAATCCATCTGATGTACATTTCTTTGAGGGTAGCAGGTTAGATGAAGGCAGCCATTCTGTTAAGCTATGTTTTCTGTGATCGAATCTGGATCGGCCACCAGGATCAGAGGTTTTGTTGTTTGCTTGTGCTGCCCAAATGGCAACCAGTGGCTTAATGGCCAGCTATCAATGCACCCCAATCAATATCTAAAAAGCCACATACAACAGGCACCATATAAATATCACATACAGAACAGTACATACTCTGCTAGAAAGATGGTCCCTGAAGATGGGTTCCATCCCAAGTCCGAAAACTCTGAAGACAGAACCTCTGGTGCCAGTTACCGACCCAGATTAGATCCTACAACATTATCTTGGGTCATGTAATACATTCGCCTTCGTTATGTTTTGTGAGCTGTATGGATCCAGCGACACAAGGGTTGGATTCACACCAGAGGTGGGATTCAGCAGGTTCTGACCAGTTCTGGAGAACCAGTAGTGAAAATTTTGAGTAGTTCAGAGAACTGGGAAATCCCACCCCTGACTGGCCCCGCCAACCCCATCTCTTCTCTGCCTCCCATTGAGTCCCAGCTGATCGGCTGGGTCTTGTTTGGTTGCCCTGCACAGGAGAACGGAGCTGGAAAGCAGGTTAGTTGGGTGGGGAAGGAATGGAGATTTTGCAGTAACTTTCCCCTGGAGTGGGATGGAAATGGGGATTTTGAAGTATCCTTCCCCTGCCATGCCCACCAAGCCACGCCCACAGAACTGGTAGTAAAAAAAATCTGAATCCCACCACTGATTCATCCATGGCAATTAGCCATCCTGGAGTTCGATTGAGATTAGCTTAATGAGTTGTGTAACCTCAACCATTCTAGGTTTGTAGAAGGTGGCTTGAACAGGCCTGTGTGCTATTTCAGACGGCATCTAGAGCCCAACTTGACTCACCTTCTTTTAATGAGTTCCTCTCTGCAGACTCATCCTTCTTCTCAAAGATCTCCGGACGCTGGTCCCCAGACTCTTTCCCCGAGCTAAAAGGCACTCCTGAGTTTGAAGTATTGGAAGCATTCTGACAGGAGAGGGAATCTATCAGAGCATGACAGTTTTCTCTTGGGTTGGGCAAAGCCGGGCTCCCTTGGGGAGGTGGCGCTGTCACTGGAGACCCAAGAGCAGAAGACTGGGGAGTAGCGTGAGAAGTTGGAGATTGAGAGACAAGCTGGAAAGAGGCAGATGGTGGACGAGGAGCTTTTTGCTCTGTTTCTGATATCTCTGGCGGGCTTCCATAACAGGTTGCTAGGGAAGTGTCATGAGTTATGATCACTTGATCCTTGTTGGTCAGTTCTGGAGACGGATGAGACAGGCTGTGGCCAAAGTTGATCTGAAGCTGGGCCTTAGGCAAAGATTTGAGCCCAGGATCACCTACTGAAGGGAGAACTGGTGGGGTTCCAATGAACTTCTCCAGGCTGGTGGGAAACGTTTGAAGCTTTGCAGTTTGCTTGGAGGCCAAAGAACCCACCGAAGTCACATTGGCCAGCTGGCCTGCCCCCATGGCAGAGAAAGGAGAATCCTTTCGCGGTAACGTTCTATTCTTTGGAAGAGGCGAGATAGAATTTTGGTCTTGGGAGCTCCACCTGTTGGTAGGGTCAATGTTCGAGGTGGAGCAAAGGGTAGGACCGGGCCCCTGGTCTTCTGCGATATGCAAGTCAAGGGAAGGCAAGGAGCTGTGATTCACGGTAGCCTTGGAGACCTGCCGGATCGGACGCTCTACCTCGGCATGGAAGACATTCCCATGGGATGAGAACTTCTTCAGCAAAGGACTAGATAGCTGAGAGATCTCAATTCCAGGGGACTCGGATTGCCGAACAGGATTCGGAGGGCATATTGTGGGTGTTGGACACTCCAAACTGGAAGAAGAACTGTGAAGACTCTCATCGCTTCCTGGCCCTAAAGATGAAGAGAATCCATTGGGATTCAGCCGAGTTTGAAAAGAGGACACCCTGACGAGGTTGGTTCCATTAGCCCGAGGCAAATGAATGGTACCTCGGTTGAAAGACAGGCTGTTCGTGATCCTGGTTTTGGGGATCGGACTGTGCGAAGGGCTGGAGATGTTGCTCAGGCCGATGGGAGATGGATAGATGCTCTGCACGGGTCCTCTGGTTCTTTTCCCCTCTCCGTTTTCAGAGGGGCCGGGATTTACAGAAGATCTGGTTGAGCATGAAGGGACTTCTTCCACATCTTCCATCTCAAAGGACTTTTTCAAGGCTGCAGAAGAAAGTAAGAAGGGACACATAAACGGTCCATTAGACCAACAGTGGTCAAATATTCTTCCTTCATTTGTACAGGTTCTTTTGAAATTGTAGGGTTGTAGAATATATCAATTCTCCAGCTGGGTCTCAGATCTATCAAGATTCCAGCAATCAGCCTAATTAAATCATGATTCTCGAGCCAAACTTCAAAAAACTTTAAAGGATTTATTAGAGGTGACACACTGGCATTGACCTGTATGAAGCCAACTCTGCTGAACCAGGCCTGATGGGTGGACCCTCAAAAACAGGGGTCTCCAACCTTGGCAACTTTAAGCCTGGAGGAGTTCAACTCCCAGCTTTGCTGGCTGGGGAATTGAAGTCCCCCAGACTTAAAGTTGCCTAGGTTGGAGACCCCTGCTCTAAATGGTGTATGTGTGTCCAGGTGATTTTCTTTTTTCATTTGTGAGCCATATTTTCACCAGGGCTTCTGATTTCTTCGTGGCCACAGAATATCTATGAAAAAGAGCCTGGAGCCACAGATTGCATTAAACTCGCTTTTCTTAAGCCAGAGACCCACAAGATAACATTAAGTGCAAACATGTAAATCAGAACCCTTTAAGGAATTGATTGCATTAAGTCTCTTCCCTTTTGGGAACGCAGTTGATTTAGTTTAAAAAAATCAGAGGGGCGAGTGGTTAACATCTTAGCCTTTGCTTCTCCCTGTTTGATTAAATGGAAGGGGCAGCAGGTCAAATAATTGAATTTAGAGGACTTTGTTTGAAGGAGCAAAGCTGGAGGAATAGATAATAAGAAAGGATTTGGCCACTTCCTGACCTCACTTTGTGAATAAACCTGAGAATTTATTAGGAACAATGCATTGGTGTTTACAGACAGATGGGATTATCATTCCTTTGCAGCACACCTTCTGCTGTTTCTTTCTTGCTGTTTGGCCAGCAATCTGAGAACCTCTTTCCAACTGCCCATTGGTGATGTCTTGGTGGACATCACCAATAGGCACTTTCTTAGAAAGGAATACAAGTTTGAATAAATGCTAGACAAGATCCATCTTCTACGTTACTCCCTTTCTGCCCACTTCCGGCTCATGCAGTGTGGAATTACAATAACAACTCATGTGCTGCCATTTTAGTTTAGTTTAGCTTACTTTATTGTCATTGCACCTCCTACAACGAAATCAAACACCATCTTCAGTGCACATCATGACCTTGAAAATAAACACAAACACACATCCTTCACACGCCACACATTGAATTGAAAACTCCCGACACTGCACCAACACTGCACTATACAGTAGAATTCAAAAGAGCTACTGCCCTGGGATAGAAGCTGTTTTTCAGCCTATTTGTCCTTGTTTTTATTATCCCGTACTGTCTGCCAGATGGTAATAGTTCAAAAAATGGGTTCCCAGGATGAGATGGATCTTTGAGGATGTTTTGAACTTTCTTAAGGCAGCGGGAGCTATATTCTTCCAAAGTGGGAAGAGGGCAACCCATGATCCTCTGGGCCATGACGTTAACCCTCTGGAGCGCTGTCCTATCTGCCACTGTGCAATTGGCAAACCGTACATAGGTTTAGTAAGTTAAGATACTCTCTATGGTGCAGCAGTAGAAGGTTACCAGCAGTTTTTCATTCAGTTGTTGTTTTCTGAGAAGCCTCAGGTAGTATAATCTCTGCTGGGCCCTTTTGACCAGGGCTGCAATGTGGGCACCCCTGGTCAGGTCCTCTTTTAGGGTAACACCCAGAAACTTAAAACTGGCCACTTGGTCCACTCAGTCTCCATTGATAAGCAAGGGCTGGATGTCTGACCTGTTCCTTCTATAATCCACTATAAGCTCCTTGGTCTATTGGTGTTGAGGACCAAGTTATTGTCTCCACACCACGAAAGCAACCGGTCCACCTCATCTTGGTAGGCAGACTCATCCCCACCGCGCCCCGGAGATGAGTCCCACCACTTTTTAGTTCTTTTTAGCACGGATATTAACTAGTCTGCAAGAAAACAACCAAGCATAGAGAGCACCCAGGATCCCACAGTTCAACTCTGAGCTACCAATATTGTCTTCAGCTGGCACTTGTACATCAACAGAAGGCAAACTGCATCCCCCTTTAGCATTGATAAAGTTGCCTAGTTAGGTAATGAAACGCCTACAGGAAAAACAACCCAGTTCAGAGAGTACAAAAGACCCCAAAAGTTCAACCCTGAGTTACAAATATTCTATTCAATCAATTCTTTAACTAAGTTGGGAAGTTAGCTCGCCTCCAATTATAGTGTGGGACACAAAACCTTTGACTGTTTCGGTTGCACAGAACTTGAAAACTGAACTCTGTTTTCTGGTAACCTAGTTAACTGGTAACCAGAAACAGGGACCATTTTCGGTTCGTCTGAGTGCAAAGAGGTGACCATGAGCTACTCTTGAGTTGTGAGAGAAATGCTAGGGGCCATAGGCCCCCAAAGCAGTGGATAGGACCAGGGTGAAAGCTAAAGAAAATCGAGAAGGGATATGGTTATTTTCCAATCATGCATTTAATCATCTTCTCTTTGTGTCAAATGAGAATTGATAGTTTAGAAGGAAGATCTCTAGGGTCAGCCCATGGCTTTTAGGAGACCCTATTCAGAATACAGAATAATAGAGTTGGAAGGGACTTTGGAGGTCTCCTAGTCCAACTCCCGCATATGCCCATCTCAACCGAACCATTTTGCTCAAGTACTGTGCTGTGATGAATGTTATTTTCAGATTCTGGCCACACATAAGGCAAGTTGTTTTGACATGGGGATGCCATTTGTCATTTGTCTGGTACAGAGACCGAGGTACACCTGTCTCCCACCCTCTTACACAGGCAATCATCAAATAGGATGTGAGCCAGGTCTTCTACTTCTGCCGCTCCACAAATACAGAGACATCCATTGTAGGGTATAGAGTGGAATCTCCCATATCTGACCATTGTGTCAAGCTGTTCAAGTCTCACTCGCATAAATATCTCCCTAAGATGTTTCAGCAGTTGTAACTTTAAATAGCTGTCTGTTGGAAAAAGTACATCTTCGATTGCTCCACTAAAGAACTGTGTTTAGGCCACAACAGTTCTGGTTAACCAAGGAATGAAACAGTCTTGCATGAGGTTGTCCAGGTCCTCAGGGTATAGTGTCACATTCTTCTTTGTCACCTAACTGACTTGTTTTGAACGCTCTTGGGGGGGTAGTGGCATTTGCTGCAAGCAATCCCTTTGCTCTCCTCCTCCTCCTCCTCCTCCTCAAGATAATTGGTCTGTTTGAAATGTAAGCAAGCTTTCATCAATACCTTCAGGTTATCCACTCACTTCTGCAACTGTAGTGCTATCCCTGATTAAATTAATTCAGAACAGCCCGTATTCACTTTTTTAAAACAAATCTCACGTGTGTGTTGGCTGTATGGGCTGCCATTTAAAAACAAAAACCTACAAGAACTAAAGGAGAAAAAAAAAAGAGGTGTCCAAAACTTCTGGAGAACATCAGGTTTTATACTCCCGGTTTGCACTATTTCATATCCTTATATGGGAAACCCTGCAAAATCTAGAGCAAAGTTCAGCCAAAGCAGAATAGGAGTCCGATGTTTTGTAAACTAGAAATAGGAATATGAATCTGTTCAAAATATTAGCATTTTTCGCTTGGCCCCTTCCACCCGCTGGAGAAGAAACAAAGGGGGCAACCCTTGAAATGTAGCTCTCCTGTCTCCAATCGTCTGTTTGTTTAGGAGATGCAATCTTATCTCCCTTGTCTCCAGCAGGCAACAAGATTCCCACCTCATTCTCCCATCAAAGACTCCCCTAACCACCTCACTAAAGGAGAGCATCGGGTTTCACAGGTAGCACTGAGGGAGGGTTGGGAGGCCCCATGGCTTTGAAAAAGCATCTCTATACACCATCTGGCCCTGGGTGGCAAACCTTTGGCTGAAATAGGCAATCTGTATATTGAGCTCCTTCCCTTGGTGCCCACGGAACTCTCCGCTTCGTTCACCTGAAGGCAGGACAATGAGCAATGGATGGAGACTAAGGAAGCAGAGAAGCACCCTAGAACTAAGGAGAAATTTCCTGACAGCGAGAACAAATAACCAGTGGCTTCTGCCTCCAGAAGTTGCAAGGGATCCAACACTGGAAGTTTTTTTTAAAAAAGATGTTGGTTAACCATTTGTCTGAAATGGTGTAAGGCTTCCTGCCTGAGCAGGAGGTTGGACCTACAAGATTCCCTTCCAAATCTGTTATTCTGTTCTGTTCTATTCTATTTCTATTCCATCTTCTATCCTATCCTATCCCATCAAATCTTCTCTTCTCTTCTCTTCTCTTCTCTTCTCTTCTCTTCTCTTCTCTTCCCTTCCCTTCCCTTCCATTTCTATGCTATGCTATGCCATGCCATGCCATGCCATGCCATGCCATTCCTATTCCTATTCCTATTCTATTCTATTCTATTCTATTCTATTCTATTCTATTCTATTCTATTCTATTCTATTCTAT